CGGGCAGGTACGATGCCAACGGATGTGTCAACATCGGATTGGTCCACCCTTTGCTTTTGTGATTGGTTAGTCGAAGGTAATAGCATGATTAAGGGTCTGTTTGGGATAATTTTTTCATTATTTTATTTTTCAAATAGTAATTACAATTTTAGTTGATTATTTTTTTATTGATTTCTTATTATTTTTCAAAAATTTTCATGATAACAAACTGCTTTTCATAATTAGAATAACTAAGTTATTTTTTCAATAGCTATTTTATAATCAACTTTATAAAAAATTATAGCTCTTCCAAACATGTGCTAAGCTATTATATATACAGTGTGTTTAATTATGATAATAGGCTGTTAGAGGGAATTTCTTGATTATTTTACTGATTAATTATTTTGCATGTTTCATAGAGTGAGCTTTGTCTGTAAAAAGAGAGATTATGAGGAGTTTTAAATTGAAAATAAAATGATAAAGAGAAGGAATTAAAAATTGGCAATTAAATTTAAATGACTCTATTAATTGGGGGGGGGGACATAAACATGTAGTGTTCTATTGACTGATTTGAAAAGAAAAAAAATCACTTTTCATGTAAGAAGTGATAATTAATATGTTTTGTATTTTGTTGAATATTTTCAACGAATTTCTTTGCCAGAAAAAAAATATAGTTAGTCCTACATGATCACGTAAAACTAGTAAAGCTAAGAGTTATTTGATCAAAAGTAAAAATGTGTAAAGTATTTCAAATTCAGTAGTTTTGAAAATACTAATATTTGGCTTAAAGTAAAAAAAATAATTAGAGTAAAGTTTTGATGTATTTGGAATACGTTAGTGTAATTTTAGTTTATTTAGATATTATTTAAATTTGAGTATTTTCTAAATATACTATAAATTTATTGTCATTTCTACCACCGCTGCTAATGATCATCGTCCACTACCAACTGTCGTAATATGTCCATATTTTTTGCTAGCCACCATGATATTTGAGTTTTACATTATATTCATTTTAATTTAAGTCAAATAAAAAAAATCACCAGCATTTATTTTATACTAATCCAAATAACTTTAAATATTTGAAATATATTTGTTGCATACTGGAATATTCGTGGCGGTAGAGGGATATAGAGTTTAGCATCCAAGCTTTGTACGAAAATCTAGCACACACATAGATAAAAAAGAGGGGTTCACGATTCATAAGAGACTAAGATTTTTACGTGAAAAACTCTAAAAAGGGGAAAAATCACGGGACTTGGCTAAATTGGAATGGTTCAACTAGTGTTTATTGTTCATTACAAATGTGACCTTTCTTTGGGGGGAAGGTCATTGCTCGATGTAGCAAATAGTCATCATATATAACACATTATATGGTGGGAATTGGAAGAATATAATGATATGAGAGTTTTTTCTAGAGAGATAAGTGTGGGCCATTTCATTTGGTAGGCAAGACTGTAGCTGGTCAACGGTGGTCAGAGGGACTTTTGTTAGGCAACGGTGGTCAGAGGTACCATAATCAGCAGGCAACGAAGGTTGGAGGGATCGTAGTCGGCATGCTAAAAAGGTTGAGGGACCTTATTCAACGAGCAATGGAGGTCGGAGGAACCGTATTGGTAGGCGACGGTGGTTGGAGAGTTCGCAATCGATGGACGAAGGTAGTCATAGGGACCATAGCCGGCGAACGATGTTGGTCAGAGTGACCGTACGTAGTCAGCGGAAGACGGTGGTTAGAGGGACAGTAGTGGACAGGAGATAGTGGTCCGAGGGACCATAATCGATGGGGGACTATTGTTGGAGGGACTATAGTGGGAGGGTGATTGTGGTGGGAGGGATCATATTCAACAGGCGACGGTGGTTAATTAGAGGGATTGTAGTCAGCGGGCGACGGTTGTTCAAGGGATCGTAGTCAACAGGCGACATTGATAGGAGGGATCATAGTCGACGATCCACTGTGGTAGGAGGGACCATAGTGTGCGGATGACGGTGGTCGGAGGGATCATAATCGATAGACGACGGTGGTTAGAGGGACTGTAGTGGCTAGGCGACGGTGCTCAGAGGAATTATAGTCGACGGACGACAATGGTTGGAGGAACTGTAGTCAACTGACTATGGTGGTCTGAGGGATCCTAGTCGACGGGCGACGGTGGTCGGAGGTACCGCAGTTAGTGAGCGACAAGGTCGGAGGTACCGTAGTCAACGAGCGACGGGGTTGAAGTAGTCTGCAATAAATGGTGGTCGGCGGCCAGGAGGAAGTCCAACGACGGTCGACGGAAGTTCATTTGCGGTGATGCTTAGGTGGAGCTCTATATCCTTGAAGCGCTAGAGCTCTCTCTAATTTCCAGCAAAAGGTTGAAGCCCCCAAGCTTCATTCATGTGGGAAGTGGCGGTCAATTTGTGGATTTTTGAGAGTAACATACCCGGTAAATATGAAGAAGATACAGGGCAAATTCAGAGTGCCTTATCGGACTGTCCATGTTGACTCCCTCGATCATAAAGTGTTTGCCAAGTATATTTGTGCCCACATGATGTCATAATTAAGGGTTCTTGGGCGGCTCATTGTATTTGTCTCGCTGAGCCACTCGATTCGACTATAAGCACGTCATATTTGGATATCATGTGGTAATCCAATCAATGCTTTAAACTTTCAAATATGCTTTAGTCCCTTGATTTGGACCCATTTGGGCTCGGATTGAACCAAGTTTGATGTCATTGGGTTCGTCTCCTTGAGATGTTCAATTTGACTATAAGTTTGCTGAAAATACAATTTGAATGGCCCTAAATTTAATTTCAGAAGTTGCCAACTTAAATACACATCGATATTCATGCTAGATTAAGTCAATTTTTGGTAATGTATCAATATTACATTTCTTTTATATTGTATTATATTTTATTAGGCATTAATTTTTTATTCGAATTAAACAGCCCATTAAATTTATTTAATACTTTTATTTCATTCTCACACATAAGCATCCTTACACACATAAATATCTTTTCTCCCAATAATTTTTTTATAGATAAAATTTTCTATTTCAAACTTTGTATTTCTCTTCCTTTTTCTTTTGAGAATTGTATTTTATTTTTTTTTAGATTTTTGAGCCATTTAAAATAAATTCATAAATACATTAAATATATAGGTTTTAAATTCTTAATTATAGTCAAAACTCAAAAAAAAAAAAAATCAAAACCCAAAAAAAAAAAAAAATCAAAATGTGCTGCATAGATTTTTACTTAATCAATACAAGACATTTATCAACACAGATTTCGATACGCGTAGCAATTGAATAATAATAATAATAATGATTTCAGTGCAAGGAATAATTTCTTCTATAATTTTTGTCTTCTTTGTGCCATCCATCTATCTTTGCATTCAAATGTTCCCCAAATGGATCCTAGCCATCCTTGCCACAGAGGACAGCTTTGATCCCTGTCATTATACTATCAATGAAATTTAGACACATCAAATATTTTTTTATAAGAATGCACTTCTACCAAATCCCTCAAATGATGCTTCCCTCTGATCACATCCATGGCCTCCCCTATATATCCAACAAAGCCGAAGACAAGTAGTATGGCTTCAACAAGAGAAACCAGAACGTCAATGGTGGGCATGGAACAAGGCACAAGAAAAGGTCCATGGACGGAGCAGGAAGACCTGCAACTAGTCTGCTATGTGAGCTTATTCGGTCATCGACGTTGGGATTTCATAGCCAAAATCTCAGGTTTTAGTGGAAATATTTGCCTTAATAATTTGAAGCTACAGGTTTAACTCTACAATAATTTCTTTTACTTCACCTGTTTTGCAGGCCTTAAGAGAACTGGGAAGAGTTGCAGGTTACGTTGGGTTAATTACCTTCACCCTGGCCTCAAACATGGCCGTATGACACCGGAAGAAGAGCACTTAATACTGGAACTCCATTCTAAATGGGGGAACAAGTGGTCTCAGATTGCTGGAAGGTTACCAGGTCGCACTGACAATGAGATCAAAAACTACTGGAGAACACATATGAGAAAAATGGCGCAAGAAAGGAAAAAGAATTTGCTTTCTTCTTCTTCTTCTTCATCTTCATCGGCTTCTCTCTCCATTGAAACAAGTACTGATAGAATGGAGAATCAAGAAGAAGTAAGCTTTCTTTTGACAATGGTTGAAGAAAAAGAACAGGAGGTGGAGGTGAAGGTGAAGGGTTACCCCATGGATCAGCTATGGAATGAGATTGTTAACTCTGATTCGAATACTGGTTTGAGTTTTAAACAGTACAAAGCAATGGAGTTCTCTCCTCTTTGGGAGTACTGTGTTGAGTCTGTCTGGAAGGTAGATGACAATGATCAGCCCAATATAATTCCTTGTGTTAGTGATCTTTTGGTCTCCAACTTTCAGAATGGAATAGTCTTAGAATCAACAAACAAATAGGATTTTAGGTGAGAATATTATCTTGCTGTAAGATTATTGTGTGTGCTTATACAGTTTATCTACTATCTGAGCTAAGGTTAAGATCTTTGCTGTGAATTAAGTTATTGTTACTGCTTGTCAGAGCTTCCATCTTTCTGTTCTTCTAATGCTATATATCCTGCTTGAAATATATATATAGATTGGTTATGGTAACTTTAAATTCTAATTTTGTCATTTAAGTGATTGGTTTGATGAAGAAAAAATGGAAATGTCTTAAATTGGAAATGTAGCACATTATTTTTATTTTTGTGAGAATCAAACCCAAGCCACCTCACTGGAATTACCACCCCAAACGTGGGGATGCTACATCATTCATGTAACTTTTGTCATTAATTATTGCGTGCCGGAGCATTTGGGATGGTAGAGAGATGGAGAATTTAATAGTCTAGCTTTGTATGAAGGTCCAACACATACAGATAAGAGAGAGGAGTGCATGAATCGTAAGAAACATCAAAATTTTTACATAAAAAATCTTGAAAAGGGAAAAAATCACAGGGTCTTACCTAGTTGAAATGATTTCACTAGTGTTTGTCATTGATTTCAAATGATGTCTTTTCTCAAAGGATGTAGTTGGCGCAATGTAGCAAATATACATTGTATAGAATACATTATATGGTTCAAGTTAAGAGAATCTAATGACAAGAGAGTTGTTCTAAAGAGAACAATGGTATGTTCATTTGGTCGGTAGGACCGTAGTCGGGTGACTGTGGTCTGAGGACCGTAGTCGGTAGATGATAGAGGTCAAAGAGATCGTAGTTAGGCGATGGTGGTCGAAAGGACTGTATTTATGTGACGGTGGTCCGAAGACCGTAGTATGCGTTTGACAGTGGTTTAAGGACTGTAGTCTGATGGCGATTGTGAATGAAGGGAGCGTGGTAAGGTGATAGTAGTCTGAAGACCATAGTTGGTGGATAACTGTGGTCAGAGGGGCCTCAGTCGGGTGACGGTGGTTTAAAGGACCGTAGTAAAACGACTGAGGTTGGAGGGACCATAGTCAGCAAATGTAGTCTGATGACTGTAGTTGGCGGGTCAGTGAAGTTAGGGGAACCGTAGTCGGGCAATAGAGGTTAGGGGAACCATAGTCAGACGATGGAGGTCGGAGGGACCATAATTTGCATACAACAATGATCAGAACACCATAGTCGACTAGCGACTATGTCGAAGGGACCGTAGTCGACAACAACTATAGTCGGAGGGACCATTGTTAAAATCCTGAAAGAGGAAAAATCCACAGGGCCTTACCTATTTTAAATGATTTCACTAGTGTTTGTCATTGATTACAAATGATGCCTTTTCTTGGAGGAAGACGTTGGCATAATGTAGCATATATACATTATATAGATCATATTATATGGTTCGAGTTGAAATAATCCAATGACATGAGAGCTGTTCTAAAAAGAATAATGGTCTGTTCATTTGGTCGGTAGGATCGTAGTGGGGTGATGGTGGTCTGAGGATCATACTCAACAGATGACGGAGGTCGGAGAGATCATAATCAGACGATGGTGGTCAAAAGAATTATAGTCGGGCGAAAATGGTTATAAGGATTGTAGTCGAGCGATGGTGGTCTGAGAACTATAATCAGTGGTTGAAATTTTTCTAAGGACCGTAGTCGGAGGGAAATTATGGTTGAATGGAGCATATTAGGCTAGCATTGGTCTGAGGACCATAGTCGGTAGACAACAGAGGTCAGAGGGACCACAATAGAGTGACAGTTGTCGAAAGAAACATAGTAAGGCGACGGAAGTCGTAGGGACCATAGTTAGCAATTGTAGTATGAGGACTGTAGTTGGCAGGCAAGTAAGATCAGGGGACCATAATCGGGTGACAAAAGTCGGGGGGATCATAGTTAGGTAATGAAGGTCTAAGGGATCATAATTGGAAAACAATAATGGTTTGAGGATCATAGTCGGCTGGTTACTATGATCGAAGGGATCGTTGCTGGCAGGCAACTGTAGTCAGAGGAACCATTATTGGGAAACTAAGGTCAGGTAGAGTCCCTATAGTGCCGGCTGGACTGAGGTTGGAGGGATCATAATCAGACGACGAAGATTGGAGGGATCATAGTCAGACAACGGAGGTCGAAGGGACAATAATTGACAGGTAACAATGATTAGAAGACCATAGTCGACGTGCGATTATGTCGAAGGGATTATAGTCGGTGGTAACTATAGTCGGAGGGACCATTATTCAACGGCCGAGGTCAGGTAGAGTGTCTATAGTGGCAGCCGGATGTAAATCTGATGGCGATGGTTAGACGAAGGTCCAGCTGCTATAACTTGGCTTGATCAGGTCCAACAGCAATGACCAGGTGGAAGTTCGTTGACGATTGGCCGATGATAGTTCTTTGGTGGCGGTTGGGCGGCGATGGTTCACCGACAATGGTGCTCCAACATTCATGCCTTATAGCTCACTTGAATATCTAGCCCAAGGTCCAAGCCTTCTCCAAGTCACACTCATGCAGGGAGAGTGTGAACCCCGTTAAGTAAAAGAAGTCAATTTCTTAAGCATTGAGGCATCTTTTGCTGTAATGGTCAAAATTTAATTTAAGAAACTCCGCAGTTCAGCATGCTTATCCCAGAGAAATTTGGGGATGGCTGACCTCGTAGGAAGTTACACAAACATGATAAATCCATGAGGCCCTTAGGCCAAAGCGAACAATATCTCGATAGTTAAGAGTTTGGGCTATTACAAAGAGGGATCTACTTATAAATTTTGTGAGTGACATGCTCTGTAAATATGAAGAAGACCAAAAGAAAATTCTGAGTGCTCCATCGAACGACCCATATTAATTTCCTTGATTATGGAGCTTTCTTTAAGCATTTAAGTGTCTTAATGATATAAAAATTAAGCAATCTTGGGCTTGTTGGATTTGTCCCATCGAGCTGCTCGATTCCACTAAAATTATGTCATATTTGGATATCCTTTGATCACCCAATTAATATTTTGAAGCTTCCAAATATGTGTCAAGTAATCAATTTGGCTAATTTGATATCAGATTGAACCGATTTTGGTGTCGTTAGTTTCGTTTAATCAACACGTTCAGTTTAACTATATATTTCCTAAAATCAAAGTTCAGTTGGACCCATGTTTAATTTTGAAAGTTTTCAATTGAGTTATGCCTTAAGATTCGTGCCCGACGAAGCAGTTTTTTGGTGTCGTATCATCCATTAAAAAGCTAATAACAAAAAAATCTTGGTCATGCTTATAGCTAACAAAGACAAGTATTTATGTGCATGATCATCATTTTTCAAATATATATGATTAATTTAATTGCATATCTTAAATATATTGATTGATTGCGCATAACAATTAACAACTCATATGATCATATGATAATGAAGTTCATAGCTCCAGCTTTGGCTAATGACACATTATTATTGATCATTATTATGGTTATCATCATCACATATCATCTTGAAACTTTGACGATGATAAACATGATTAAAGTTATCAAAAATGAAGAAGTAACAGTGCTATTGTAGGCTATGTAAGTAGTCTGATTGAAGATTTGGGTTAAACTGTGTAAAACTCATTACACTTTGTACTTACATAATAGAAGCTCAAAGATAATAAGCTTATCTTTCTAATAATATATATATGAATTACTATAGGGCATAAAATCCCAAGCAATGTACTTTGAGAGAGAAAGCTAATCTTGGAACTGTCATGTAAAGTTGCCACAAGATTTTCCACTCATGAAATTTAGAGCCAGCTTGCCCTTACCATGACCACACAAGTAGATGTAAAAGAAAAGTACATTCAACCAAACTTTTATTAACTAAATTTGGGCAGCTTATTTTTATCTGTTTGTTGAAAATTTTTGCTATCAATCAAAAAGTCTTGGAGTCGAAGCTTCCGTATCTGATATGTGTGAAAAAGGGTGAAAAAGACTGCACTAGTTCTATTTTTCGAGGATGCTACAGAGTCTCAAACCACAATAGAAGTGGAGAAAGAAGTTACAGATCTCAGCAATGAAAGGTCCTTAATAGGACATTCATTATAGAATGATTATCAGGGGAAGAAAGATCTATCAGAACAGAAAGCTGTAAAATGAAAGAATGAGTTCAGTCTTAGAACACCTTTATGTTTCATTACATGGAAAGAAGACCAAAAATTTTTTTGACGAGTTCAAAACTTCAAATCAAATAACTTAGATTCTTCTAAGCATTCAAGTATAATATAATTAGTGTCCTCCATTTGTATATCATCCATTAACTACATCTATTCCTTAATGAAATGAATTACAAACCAATGTGGTTAGAGAGAGGGTTTAAAGCAGTATTTAAGGTTTCGTTTGAGACGACTTTCTAATTGCTACTTTAAATAACTTTTTAGTAAAAAAACTAATAATTTTGTATCAAAAAAATTATTTTAAAAATCGTTCCTCTTTATTGCATTATGTAGATCCAAAGGTCAGGTCATAGAAGCAGCTTTTTTTTTTAAAATATAAAGGTAAAATTGCCCAATAGAATCTCTTCTCAGATCCTGCAATAGAGGCACTCAGCGGACCACCATGCATGCACTGCACTGAAGCACATGAAGAAAGTTTTATTGCTTTTTCTGAACTTTAATTTCTGCTCTCCAACCTTTATGTCCACAGGGAAACAAAGTGTATTGGCCATGACCTTACATCTGGAAGCAAGAAGTGCCAGTGGTATTCAAAATTCAATCATGACACTGTATCAGAAGCTAAATCAATTTGAAGAAAGCTTTCCTATCACCGATCGATCGCAGTGCCCCAAATTGCTAGATAGGACCATCAATCAACAGCTTTGTGAAATAAATGGTAGATCCAATGCATTCTACTGAGCCAAAAATTATAAGAACATTATTAGTTAATGTCCTATCAAGAGATATCTTATACTGATTCAATTGAAATCTGCGGTAAAATCGAGGAAATATATATCATCATTATAAAATCAACAAGACAAAGGAGTGTCAATATTTGATACAACATA